AGTGCTCATAAATTATGCCGACGGCAAATGGAATTTGACAACTTTTGAAAATGGTGCGCGAAAAATGTGTACTGATTTTCAATTGAAGACTTTGCTGTGAATTTGAAATACTAATTTTGGTAGTTGAGAAAAAACGTTTTGAGCAATGGAAATTAATGTGACTTAAAGCAAAGTTTGGTTAAACAGCAGAAGCTGCTTTAACTGGAGATGGCTGAAGGATTCTCCACAAAGAGCAGAGATTAATAAGGTGCCGGATACTGAATTGGAATAAATGGCTATCAGGGATTGTATTAGGAATCCAGTCAGAGTTTCAACTCGCTAGGTATAATGATGTGCCAACAAATTGATTGACTTGGAATACTCAAAAGAGACAAAGAAATCGCCCATCTAAACTAGATATAATAAAACCAACAAAGATTCTCAGATTCCGACTGGAGCACAATATATAAATATTAAATTAAATTACTTAAGTGCTTCTGTTTTTAATGCTCTTCTCTTTTAATAATGTTTGAATATTTTTCTTCTGCATAATTTCGAAAATTATAAAAAAATGCACTTCTTCTATTCAAGAGAAAATCCAAGATATATATGAGAGAATTAATATGAATTTTTGTATGAAAATCGCTAAAATAATTCTTAATAAAATTAGAATTAATGTTAAAAATTATTTATTTATTAAAGTGCAGAACCACAAATTGATTTTTAAGTTGTTGTTTGCTGAGAATGGTGAAAAAAAGAATGGAAACATTTTTATATTATATATAGACTTGTTTTATCTGATTTCATCCGTTTAATTTTCCAAGTTTTGCTGAATTTGAGTTTTCCATGCGATTTGTGAAAAGTGAATTTTGTGAGAAAACATTTTCTTGGATTCGAAAGGAAGAAAAGGAAGTGTTTTTTAACTGCTCCAAGAAATGCTTCAATTTGAATAAGTTATTTTAATTATTCGGTTTAGTCAAAACTTCGCCTAAAAATCCCTTTCAAAAATGCCTCGAAAAATCTTCGCCCTTAATTTCAATTTGTGCACTTAATACTGCTCCCAAGTTCTCACAGCTCTTCAACACACACACACACACACACACGCACACGCACACGCAAACACAAAATGTGATTGATTATAATACTTATCCCCCACAGCCCCACAACCCCCCTCTCTCTCAAAAAAAAGAAGAAAAAATTAGCTCAAATTTCGCACAGCTGTTGAAGTGTTATTTTTTTCGTTAGCTTCTTTTCCGCTTGCTGCTAAAATCAAAGATGATGTTGATGGGGGCTGCTTGTTTCGTTTTGCTGCTGCCCCTTTGAAATAATGCAACATTAACTTCATTAAGTGCATCATTATCGGCTGCAACTTCGTTATCATCATTCACAGCATGCACAGCTGTTGTCCGTTGAACGTAATTTTTGTGGCAAGTGCAAAGCGTTTTTCTTACCTGTTAGCGAGTTGCAAGGCGCACTCTGTATGTGTGTGTGTGCATGTGTGTGTGTGTGTGTATCCTTGTATCTGCGGATCTGTGCACCATCTTCTATGTTGTTGCCTGGCAAATTAGTGCAACACAAATGTCAAAAGGTGTTTTCGTCAGCGCTGACTGACAGCTGTATTTGTGTGTGTATTGTGTGTGTGTGCGTGTGTGTGCGGCTGTGTGTGTGTGGATGTGTATATCTTTGTATCTGTGCTGCCTACACTTGCAAATTGTTATAGTTGTAGATACAAAACATACCAAATAGCAGCCAGCTACTTGAGATGATTTACGATGCTAGCTCAGGCAACACACACACACAAACAGACACACACACACGCATACACAACATCCACACTATCCACACCAATGCCAACACACACACAAACAGACACACACTGCCAACTGACGAAAGCGGAAATACCCTTGAAAAAATATTATGGAGTAGATTTCGAGTATAAAGCAGATTTTGTTAAAACTATGCGAAATATAATTATTAAATGCTGGAATATTAAATAAATATATATATTTATCTATATATATAAATAGATTAAGATACATTTTATAGATATGAGAATTGAAAGTTCAACTTCCTTGTTGCAGATGAAATCGAAATAGCTCGAATAAATTCAAGCTGTGACAGTCAAAAGTCCATCTCTTTTCTGGAATATGATAAATATAAAATAGTTAAATGGAAAACCAAAAGTGAGATTTATTTTCTAAATCTAATCATGAAAATCAAAAATTAATTCTTTGTTAAAATTGAACCATTTCTTAATGGGCTACAAAATAAGTCGAAATTGTGAAAAAAATTAAGTTTAGGGTTGAAATTACAAAGCTTGGAAAACAAAAACTCTGCAATATATATATATTTGAAGCATATCTGATAAATTACCATTTTTGTATTTAGTCTATTGTTTTCACTATTCAAATCGAGTCTTTTTTGAACTTTTTGGACGCGTCTTGTATACTTCTAATAACTAAGTAGCTGAAGAAGTCTGCCGATCATAGCAGCATTCAGTGCCATCTTTCGCACAATGCCTGCGATTCGATCTAGTCTCTCTCTCTCTCTCTCTCTCTTTCTCTCTTTCTCTCTTTACCCCCTCACGGTTGTCTCTCTTCCTTTTTTGGCTGTGGCTAGATGATTGTGCTGAAATTGAAACTACGACTAAGACGAACATGAAAACGAAGATGGTGGCGAAGACGGAGACGGAGAAATGGAATGTGCACGCCTCGAGAGAGGTGTGAAGTGAACAGTTGGACAGGCAGGCGGACAGGTCGAAAGGAAGGTGGGCAAGCAGGCAAAGAGGACTGCAGAGTGCAGAGTGAGAGAGCGAGGCCAGGTAGTCAGGCAGTGTCAGTGGCAGTTGCTGATGCAGAGGCAGCGGAGGACCACGCAAAAACCTTGAATTGAAAAATACCAAACACAATAAACGAGCAGCGAAACTGATGCGAAGCAGAGCTGAAAATGAAGCAGAGCTGAACACTGAACAAAAATAAACATGATCTATGCTAAGATTAAAATTAATATTATATTATATATATCCATATATATATATATATATATATATATATATATATATATATATATATATATATATATTTGGTTTATATTATTCGAAGGCATATATCTTATCTATATGCATATTGACTAATAAAAGATATACGAAATTTGTACTTATAGCAGTAGGGGAATCAGCTAATGCCAATTTATCAGCGTGTCTGACTATATGACAATTGTGCATGCCCTTCTTATAACTTTATGTTATAGTATGTATTTTTTTGCCGTGTATGTCCAAATGTCCAGCTCTGGCTGCTCTCGGGCTCACACTTGGCCCAAACACACAACACATAACACTTCAGTTTCAACGGCTAGTCCTTCAACCTGTGCCCCCCTTTCTTACCCTACTGCCCCGTCTTTGCCTTTGTCGTCATTACCGTCATGCCTTGTCATAGACAACATCGTTTATTTTCCCAACTCCTGTTTAGGCCCCTCCCCTCGACTACCACTCTTCCTTCAAATTTTGCCCCCACCCTCCCATCTCGCACTGACTTGGCCAGTTTTTTGTTTCCCATTTGGCACCTCTTCGCATCGTGCCTGTGAATCAGCACAACTGTTACACACACAGCCCCCGCCCCCTCTCTCTCTCTCACTCTCTACCTGTGCACACCTTGCCAAAACACTCGACTGATTTTCTGCTGTTTTTGTTGTTGTTGTTGTTCTTCTCCAGCTGAAGCTTAAACTGAAGCTTGCCCAGCACCTTTTTTTCAGCTTCTTGTGTTTTTTTTTTTTGGTTTCCTTTGCTTCGTTGTGTTGCAGAGACAGAGGCAGTGGCAGAGGCAAAGTTATGCATAATACACGTGAAAATGTTTTTGGCCAAGCATTGATAATGGTAACTGTCTGAGAAATATCCATTTCTCATATGTATAAGGCATTCAAATAACAATTGTTGTTTTTCTTGTTTCAATTACAACCAGTTATTCTAGATTTTGGAATTGAGGTGATTCACCAAAAAAGAACACTGTAAAAATGTATTTAAAAATCAAAAAATTAATGAAGATATTTTTTACAACATTGAGTTTCCACACTTTTTTTTTCGGCCTTCATAGACTTTTTGACTGCTTAGGCTCATTCGAATTTGATGCTTCTCAAATGACACTGTTTGGGTTCGATATTTCCACAATTCAAAAAATTTATCAGCATCACATAATATTTACGTCCTAAGTGTTTATATAAACATTATTTATTGTTTTTATATGATTGTGGAAAATTCACTTTTGATAAAATAAAATAAATATTCCAATTCGAATTGTACATGATTTAATCATGTTTGTTACTTTATTCAATATTCGATATTCATATTAGATTATATATTATATTGGTTGCGCTTGTCAATTACTGTCAACCAATCAGTGGCAGTTTACTCAATAATTGTTGTCAAAAAAATAAAAGAAACAAAACAAAACAAAACCATTGAAAACAATTCCATAAATTTTCCAATTAGGAAAACATACAGAAATCAAATGGCTTGCAAAAATATTCAAATCCCAAATAAATGTTGCAACAATTGACATTATTATGGAGAATGCGACGAAGAAAACACAACGAAGTTTCATAATTTCACTTGCAACACAAAATAACACAACAAATCAAATAATAAAAATACTTAAATATTTTGAATTTAAATAGAGAATCAATTTTGTGTTGCACATTAAAGTGAATTGGAGCGCAAAGAACGACAGTTGAAATGTCTCAGGGCTGCTCAGAGGGCAGAGGGGAGAGCGGATGGCGGGGGATGGGTGGGGGGAGGGGGTTGGCACATAAATCTTTTTAATGTGTGCGTTGCGAGGGGAAGTGCTGTGAGCCAAAATCAAAAGAATATTCCATTCATTTCATATCTGACAATTTTTAAAGTAATTAAGAAAAAATGGGGAAAAAATTAAATATTTAAAATATATACAAATCGATAATTGGGAAATAATGACGAAAGCATTATATATTTAAGATTTGTACAAACAAAGAGCTCGACTAGCAGACACCCTAAAATCAAATGATAAATGCATTTATGAATTCGAATATTATATGACAACTTGCGTGTTTCTGGTTCGATTTTCATTTCGAATTCATCATCTTCTTCTTCGTCTTGACCAGAATCGAGTTTATAAGCGGGCCACGCAGCTCCGTGCGCAGTGCGATCCTGTGGAACTGGTTCAACTGATACTTCTTGTAAGCGGCGCTCAATGTGGCAGTGGGTGCATTGCGTGCTAACTTCGCTATCTTCTGCGTAATCGGGCGTAGATGAGCAGCAGTGTATCTCGAGTAGTGCACCAGCGTCGGTGTCCAGTGGCTGTCATTGAAGCCCGTCGGAGCACGAGCATTGCCATTGAGCAAGTGGAGCGACAGCAAGAGCGAAGCAGCCGCAATCTCGGAGGGCTTATAGCTGGCCAGAGTGTAGTCGATGCTGGCCAGTTCCAAGAAGTACTCGGACATGGCATGATGCTCATCATCAGCGGAGGCTGCCTTCGAGTAGCGCCTCAGAAAATGGATGGGCAGTGGACGCGACAGATTGTAATCGATCGCCTTGAGTATGAGCTGCTCCATTTTCTTAATCTCATTGGCCGTATACGTATAACCCGTAACGCAGACAAAGTCACACATGGTCGCCGAAGACTGCTCCTCGTATTTGGTGGCTATGAACAGCGCAGAGATGCCAACCAGCTGCATATACTGGTGTTTGGTGTCCTTCACCACCTGCAGATAGCGATCGATAATGGCGACCGCCAAATAGAAGGTATCCTCTGTCAAATCCAACCCAAAATTCACCTCGCTGATCCAGTTGATGAGGGTGGCACGCATTAGATACGACACCACCGACTGACCTCTCAAGTGATCCGAGTAGATGGGCTGCTGCTCCTCCAACTCGTACAGATAGTCGTAAATATCGTTCACGTATTCAGATACCATAATCAGATTCTTCCGATCACCCGCATCAATGGCCTCCACATCAGCCAGACGACTGGACAGGGCCACAATGGTTGTTGTTTTTGTTGTTGCTACAGCTGCTATTGCCTGTGGCACGTTGTTGCGCAAAATCACCTTCTTCTTGACTGCAACTTCAGCTGGAGCTGGAGCTGGAGCCACATTGGTTAGCGATTTGCGCTTTCTGTCACCGTTGCCCTTCTTTTTCCCATCGGCTGTGGACTTTTGTTTGGATGCTGCTGCAACCTCTTTCTTGACTGCAACTTCAGCTGGAGCTGGAGCCACATTGGTCAGCGATTTGCGCTCACTGCCACCGTTGCCCTTCTTTTTCCCATCGGCTGTGGACTTTTGTTTGGATGCTGCTGCTACCTTTTTCTTGACTGCAACTTCAGCTGGAGCTGGAGCCACATTGGTCAGCGATTTGCGCTTTCTGTCACCGTTGCCCTTCTTTTTCCCATCGGCTGTGGACTTTTGTTTGGATGCTGCTGCTACCTTTTTCTTGACTGCAACTTCAGCTGGAGCTGGAGCCACATTGGTCAGCGATTTGCGCTCACTGCCACCGTTGCCCTTCTTTTTCCCATCGGCTGTGGACTTTTGTTTGGATGCTGCTGCTACCTTTTTCTTGACTGCAACTTCAGCTGGAGCTGGAGCCACATTGGTCAGCGATTTGCGCTCACTGCCACCGTTGCCTGTCTTTTTCCCATCGGCTGTGGACTTTTGTTTGGATGCTGCTGCTACTGCCGCTGTTGTGGCTGCTGCAACTGTACGTTGGATTGAATGTGGTGTGGTGACAGGAGGATTAGTGGAGGGGTTTTCAACTTACGCTTACTGTTCGCTGCATCGGTGACATGTTTTGCATGGGTCATTGTCGTTGTTGTCCTTGCTGCTGATCGGTCGGCAGCAGTAGTTGTGGCACGCAGCCGCTGCATGCGTGCTTTTGCTGCCCCATTTGCTGTGCCCAGCGGCTGCTTCTTCCAGGGTGTGTCCGCGCGAGCCTTGGTCGACGTCTTCACATCTTTCAGCTGTTTGGAGGTCACATCCTTGGTTATTTCACGAGCTAATTCCCGATTCTGCAGGTCGCCGAGTGGGGCGCGTTTTGTGGCTGCCTCGTTTAAAGGCATTGCCCGCTTTTTCGCGTGTTTCTGTTTTAATTTATTCTCTGCCGCCATTTTTATAGTTTTGCTTTATTTTTAACACAAAATGATGTTATATACAATAATATAAATATCGTTTATTAAAGGGATATTTTTTCTTGAGCACGTCGCTGGAGTTTCGTTCGCAAATGAATAAATGAATTGAGATTTTTTATAATTGACTTGTAGCTAGTTGACAGATTGCACAAATATTGTTCTAGAATGTATTTGTCAGCGATTGCTGAAAAATGAAAATGAAAATAATGTGACCAAATTGAAATAATTGCTGTTCACCAATCAATCAACAGGAACAGGAAGAAAACAAGTGTACTTCAATTTGGTCACATTATTTTCATTTTTTTCAAACTAAACGGCAGCAAGACTCAAATAAAATTCTGATTAACGCAGCAATCGCTGACAAATACATTATACATACATACATATATATATGTATATATATATATATAGGTTTTGTAAGTGCGCAGAGCCTTTTTGCTGCCTGTGACAAGCTGCAGGAGAACTTCAAACCAATTTTATCCATTTCTAACGCACAAAATCACATCTTGGAAATTAAGGTTATTTTGCGGGTAGCGGCATGAGGTGGGAGACTAGGATGTGTGTGTGTGTGTTTGCTTAGGTTGGCTGGTTAATTTCGTTGCACAGGTGGCAGGCGTTGAAGGATGCAACAACAACAACAACAACGACAGCAGCAGCAGCTCGAAGCTCGAAGCTCGAGGCAAGAAATTGCCGCACTCCAGGAGTCAAGTGCCTGTGGTTGCAAAAACATTTGTATGGAAGTGCGTGTGTGTGTGTGTGTGTGTGTGTGCATCTGTGCAGCTTAAGACGTCTCTGGCAAAGAAGCTTAATTAAATTTTACATTCAGCAACACTGCAAAAAATACAAATGAACAGATCAAGAAAGAATACAACAAATCCAGCAGAAAAATAATTATTTAACATCTTATATCATATAATTTTCTACATTATTATATTTATTTTATAATTCACAAGCAAATTTTCCAATTGTTGAATTGTTCTTACATTTTTTAAACATTTTTTTTTTATTACTATTATGTTTTAATTATTTTTTCAGATAACGCATAAATTATGTGGGACTTGCACAAATTTTAACTTAGCCAATGCTATTCTCGGCTTGTTCAATGTTTTTCTTTTTTTTAAGTGTCGCCTGTTTTTGTGTGGTTTTCTGTATTGCTCTGTTTTCAGTGTAACTAAGAACACATCCTGACAGAAACTGGGGCAGATTGTTGCCAGTGGCAGATTTAAAGTCAGCAAATGAAACTCAGCTCATTAAATGCGGGGCTGGCAAACTTATTGTTTTAGTTGCAATAACAACAACAGCAACAACAACAACAGCAACAACAACAACAGCAACTGCAACACGTGCAACAGCTGCAACGTTGCCAAACTTCGCTGCTGCTGCAGTTTCAGCATCTTCATTAAAGCTGCTGGAATCCATTTCAAGCTGCAACATTAAGTGTCAACTTTTAGCTGCTGCTGCTTGCTGCTTGCTTTAAGTGCGCCTCAAATGGCAACCGATTCGAGTGGCACTAATGAGTTGCAAGTTGCATGCGGCACGTTGCACGTTGCCAGCTCGCACGCCGTCTCTTTATGTTAATCCCTGTCAAAGTTGAGCACATCGCAAAACGCATTCAACAGCTTGAGGGCTTTACCTGCCAACTAGTGCATATATGAAATACTTGCGCATAATCCTATCTATATATATATATATATATATTTGTATATATTGTATATATATATATATACATGTCCTGGAATAGTTACATTTTAACTAGTCTGCTTAGCAATAAGCTCATATCTTCGCATAATAATTGGCAGCCTGCATTTTCACTTTGTGTCTTAGCCCTGTCAGAGTCGCTGCCCGATTAATGAGCTATAGCTCTTGGCTAAGATGTATCTGAACTGAATTTTCAGTTGGCTTTCAGTTTGTCAGAAATATCCTTAAAGATTTAATATGCCAAAATATATTGCATTAAGAGTAAGTTAAAGCGATTGCCAGTAAAATTAGTAGAAGACGGCTGAGTGCAGGGTGTCTGCTAGTCGATCTGTCTCTGTCTGTCTTATGTTTTATAATATTATTATTATTGTATTATTTCTAAATGTTTCTTGCTTCTTTATATATGTGTTGTATATACCCTAAATACGTTTACAACTTGACTGTAAATCACAACACTCAGTTGTGGCATTTAAAGCGTTGCAATTACAATGTTCAACTTTTTGCTGCGTATAATTCATGGAGATTCACAGCTCTCCACAAAGGTCACACTTTGTATGGAGGGTGGTGGTGGGGTTGGGTATGTTTTGTGGGGTTTTACTTTTCTTTTTTTCCATCTTCTTCTTGCGCTGGCATTGTCTTAAATCATTTTCATTTTGTAACTGCGTGTTTTATGGTCCGTCGGTTTATTGTTTCTTAAAATGTATAAAAATAAATGAGCTAAATTGTTGCTGCTGGGTGGTGGTTGGGGGGAGGCGCTGAACTGAACTGAACTGAGCTGAAGTGATTTGCCAGCCACAAAATGCGCTCTTTTTATATTTTGGCCGTTGTTGTTTGTGCCTTTTTTTTGTATTATTTTATGGCCAGCGGCAGCGTTGAGAATGGGCATCAAGGGTCTAGGTTCTAGGGTTTTGGGGTCCACAGTCTCGGGTCCGGGGTGCGGGGTCCGGGGTCCTCTTCGTCTATGCGTGACTTTGCTTTCTGTGGCAAATACCCTGTAAAAGAAAAGGGGGCGTTTAAGTTGCCTTTTTTTTATGTATTTTCAAATTGTCTGCCAAAAATGCTTCGACTTTTGAGTCTATGTTGCAGTTATTTATCTTATGCATCCTATATTTGAGGTACATTACAACTGGCATTATTTTTAATTTATTGACATTTCTCCTGCCCAAAGTTAAATATGATAACTTACAATTAGTTTTAACCGTTTCCCATGTTATACTTATGTATATAGAAAGATAAGCAAGGTCTTCTCGAATTATCCCTCAAAATTATCCACATCGGGAATGAAGTTGTTTGATTCTGCTTATGGTTGACAGCTAGTTAGTTGTTGGGGCAAGGAATGAGTGAGCTGTTGAGCTTATTTAATTAACTCGCATTCGTGAATTGATTTGTTTGAGATTTTTGACACAACAATCAAGTCCAATTTTGCTTTGGAATCTTTGAATGATTTTAATGCATATATATATATATATACATACATATGTATGTATAAATATATTTCAAGGGTATCTTTTGCTCAAGCAGCACTCTCGCCCTTTTTATATTTCACTTTTTATTTTGCCTGTAATTTAGCATTGAAACCTGAAACTGAAACTGAAAAACCAAAACCCATATACATAAAATATATATGTATATATATATATATATATATGTGTGTGTGTGTGTGTGTGTGTATGTGTGTATATTTATATTTATGGTGAAAATATATTATGCGTATAATTGTTGTTGTTACCGAAGCACTTTTCTCACTCTCCCCCACCTGCTTCCTTCACACTCTCTGTCCCTCTGCCCCTCTACCCCTCTCTCTGTTTTTTTTTTTTTTTTTGTCTTTTTTTATGGCGTCGCCAAGTTTTGCGCTTTGTTTCTTGGCACCTTTTGCGCCCGTTTTGCCGTTTGTTGAATCAATTACATACATTTGTGCCCCCCAGCCAAATTGCAAGTGTGTGTGCCACAAAAAAAAAGTAGCAGAAGCCAAAAGCCGAAACTCTAGCAAAAAAAAAAAAGGAAAGAAAAAAAAAAGAAAAGCGCAGACTGCGCGGAGGCAAAAATGGCAAATTATGGCACCCCCGAGATGCGCGATAAAAGCCCATTTACTTAAACTGAATATTTATTATTCCTGTCGGTACCGCTGCTCCCCCTCTTCACTCCTCCGCCTGCTCTCCGGCAACTCCCATCGCTCCCTCTGTGCGTTGACTTTTCGCCCATTTCCTATGCAAAACGTTTGCTCAGCTCCTCCTTTGCCCAATGTTCTATGCGAACTTTTGGAGTCTAGAACGTGGCGCCTGATTCTCTCTCTGCTTCTTGCTCTGCTCTCTGCCCTGCTCTTCTTCTTCATCTTCGGTTCCACTGCTTCATATGCCGCACGTTTTTCATTTCCTATTTATTTTTTTTTTTCATTGCTGCTTATGAGTATGTCGTAAAGTTTTTTTTTTGCCGTGGCAAGTTTGATTGAATTGTGAAAAAAGTTGCCCTACTTTTAAAAGATTGCCTTAGAAGTTATTTGAAAGCTGAAAAAAAATAGAATCTATATTAATTATTCGAAATATCGAACGAATTTCAATCGGATCGATGCAGATGCCAAATTTTGAGCCAAAATCGCACATGTCAAAGGTCAAAGAAGGAAACAAGTCAGTGAAGTGCAAACCACTTTAATCGATTAACCGATTAACCGATTAATATTGTTAATAATTTGATTGATTGATTGTCAAATGAGAATAACGTGCGTACTTGAAAGGGAAAGGGAAAGGGAATTCCCTTGGCCTAAGAATCTTATCGATGAATCGATAAACATACCTTCTGTTGTTAACTAGGTCGTAACAATGAAATAGTCTTACCAAAATTGGCAGCAGATTTCTGGTAAAGTTTGATAACTTCAGCTCAAAATTGAGACAGGTTTAGGTTTTGGACGTGGTTGGCTTTCTGAAGAGGGTTACAATGTGGTGATTCTAGCTTTGAAATTGTGTAAGATAATAATTGTTATGTACAATCCAGACAACCCAATTTGAACAACATGATTGCATAGACACATATATATTTATCGGACATCAACGAATCAATCTACCCTTCTACTACCCTCGGTAACAGGGTATACAGAAAATAAAAGGTATCCGTGAGATACGCGCACCAAATAAATGCGAAATAATTTAATGAAGTCAATGAGCGAAAGTATTTCATAATTTTCTATTCTATGCCAAACGACGCCATCGACAATGCTGATAACAAACACAAACTCCACCCCCAACAACCAACCCGAACCCCAACCCC